TAAGTACATTTGTACAATACCTTGAAAATGTGGGGGTACATGAAATTTTTTGAAATGCTACCTCCTAAATATTTAAAAACAATTGATCTCAAAATGAAAGTCTTAATAGATTATATTCAAATAAATGACAACCTAGGATCCAAATATTAAAGGTGTGTCTTGAGATCAAATTGTAAATCATCAAGAGGAATGGGTTAAAAACCTATGATTTAAGAGGATGTTTGATGGTAATCCTAATGATTGGAGATTCCAAGAAATAGGTTAAAGGGGAAAACTAAGTTAAACTGAATCTGCCCAAAACACTGTGAGATTTATATCTCTTCCCAGTTTCTAAGATGATTAACAGTGTTACATGTATGGTATAGAGGATAAGCATTAGCTTTTAATGATTTTGGTCCATAACTTTGAAATATACATGGACTAGTACATGATACTCCTTTAAACAAAGTTAATGGTGAATCACCTTGTGAGTGTGAAATGGGGCCGTTTCTAGGAGAATGAACAAAAGGCTATATTCTCCAACTTCACTCATGATTATCCAAATATGTTCATGGCCAAAATGAACACAATAGAGAATCTAGTTCTGTGAGAGAATGAAACTGTGTTATAGTTGTTGTCTTGGTTTACATCAAAACCCAAGAGGTTCAAGACATCATGTTCACCTCTTGGTCCAGTAAACCCGATAGCTATTAACAGTGATTTGGTTCAAGGCTGAAAAATGCTACCAACTCATATACAGTGGATTTTTCGTTTGCACTCTCAAAAGTCCTTTTTGAGTGTTTTCTTCCTTTGTCTAGACTCATTTCTATTCATATGGGGGATTGTTGGAACTCGTTTTTGACAAAATGGTTTAAGGCCATTTTCCGATTGGTTTTCCGGTGAAGACGTTTGTCGGAAAAAACATATGTTAGGCAATAAAGAATCGTCGTCATGAACACTATGAAATAGTATATTCATATGTCAAAATCAGAGTTGATTTGAATGAGAAATGGAGTTTATAAATGGGTGTTTATAAAAGTTTATAAAGCTTTATATATTTAGCTAAGTGTAAAAATTAGCAAATAGCCAATATTAGATATTTGGATTTGAGTTTGGGTTTATAATTGTTAATTGGATATCAAATCCATTAACTTATTATTATAGACCAAATTGAAGTTTATCTTTTGTATTAAGATATAATATAACACAAAAAAAAAAGAAATCCATGCATTGAAATACTATTGCTTTAAAATGTGATCAAAACAAATATCTTTGTGCTATAATGTCGTGGTCAAAAGTCATATTATGACTTAATGATAATTATGCGTTATGATACTCTTCATTATGTGTGATATGGTTTTGGTTAATACGAAGATTATACAATTATATCACTTGATCTCATTATTCTTCTATATAAAGGCTCTTGAGCTTAATAGAAAAATCATTTATTCAACATAGAAAACAATCAGCACAAGTTTAGTCTCTTTTATTTTTTTTTCTTTTTCTTGAGTCTAAGAGTACATACAAAATTAGGTTTGATAGGCTTTTGATTGAGTGTTGCCAATGAGAAGATTGTTGCAGTTGTATCTTGGGACTCTAATCAGCATAGAACCGGAACACTACGGGTGATTTTTGAGTTAAGAAAAAAGATAGTATCTTGCCTCTGCAAATCCATCACCAAATTCTTGTTCTTTGGTAAAATATTATTGTATTTTATTTATGTAATTTTTTACAATTTTCAGTTTATTGTAGTGTCTAAATTGTGGTTCTAACAGTCTTAACTCAAAAATTCGTTTATTGCTTTATTTGCACTAACCGGACTGATTATTGTGAAGTTTTGTTTTTGAGTTAAGACTGTTAGAACCACAATTTAGACACTACAGTAAACTGAAAATTGTAAAGATTTACCGAAATAAAATACAATAATATTTTACCAAAGAACAAGAATTTGGTGATGGATTTGTAGAGGCAAAATACTATCTTTTTCCTTAACTCAAAAATCACCTTATAGTGTGCCGGTTCTATGGTGATTAGAGTCCCAAGATACAACTGCAACAATCTTCTGATTTGCAACACTCAGTCAGAAGCCTATCGAACCTAATTTTGTGTGTACTCTTAAACTCATGAAAAAGAAGAAAATTAAAAGAGACTAAACTTGTGGTGATTGTTTTCTATGTTGAATAAATGATTTTTCTATTAAATTCAAGAGCCTTTATATAGAAGAATAATGAAATCAAGTGATATAATTGTATGATCTTCGTATTGACCAAAACCATATCACACATAATAAAGAGTATCATAACGCATAATCAACATTAAGTCATAGTATGACTTTTGACCACGACATTATAGCACAAAGATATTTGCTTTGACCACATTTTAAAGCAATAATATTTTAACACAAAAGATAAACTTCAATTTGGTCCATAATAATAAGTTAATGGACTTAATATCCAATTAACAATTATAAACCCAAATTCAAATCCAAATATCTAATATGGACTATTTTTTAATTTTTACACTTAGCTTAATATATAAAACTTTATAAGGTTTTATAAACACTCATTTATAAATCCATTTCCCATTCAAATCAACTCTGATTTTGACATATGAATATACTATTTCATAGTGTTTATGGCGATGATTCTTTCGTGTCTTGGTTTTTCCGACAAACATCTTCACCGGAAAACCATTTTCTGGCTTAAACCATTTTGTCAAAAAGGAGTTCCAACAAAAGTATCACATATATAATTTTTTATAAAGTCAAATACATAGAGTATTACGCCAAAATCCAATTTATTTGAGTGAGCAAATAGAATACTTATTTATAATAGCTTGGTTTAACAAAAAAAAAAACTCTAAATCCTATTACGCCTCAACTCTAGCTCGATCGGAATAGAATGAATCGAACTGTAAGCTCAAAAACAGCAAAAACGAGAGAAGCGTAGAGGAAGTATAAGAAAAAAAGATAAATGAGAACAAATTCAAGTCTCGGTTAAACGTCTACCTAACAAATCAACTAACTCTGACCATTCAGAATTTGTTTTCACTCACCAACCTTGGCAAAGGAATAGCAAAGGGAACCTTTTACCACGAAATGTTTTCACACAAAAAAGCCTATTAGAATTTGTACTTCTGTTGTTTATTGGTTAGATCATGATGCAGTAAACATTAAATATTTATCATGAAACAACCAACATTTTTTTTTTTTAATAAATATTAATCAGTTCTAGCGAAGGTCTTAAAAATAAATTAAATAAATAAAATATCAATAACAAATAAATCAGCTCAGCGGAAGCAAATAATAATTAAACAAGTCTAGCAAAATAATGCAAAACAATAAAACAGTAAACATCCTATCATCCCCCTCTTCAGCCTTGATTCCGCGATCACACAAATCTTTTACCTGCAACACATTGGAATGGAGTTGCGTAAGTATTTAATAAATACTTAGTGAGGCAATCACTCTGCCTACGAGCCATTTACGCAATTTACTAGATATTTAATAATATTTATAAACTTCAATAATTATTAAATACCATTTTCCAATTATTAAATAATTTTTAATAATTAAAACTCAATTTCTCAATTATTAAATAATTCTCATAATTAAATAATAATTTTCCATATTTTAAAATAATTAAAATAATACCAATTAATTAAATAAATATTATTTAATTAATTAAATCCGAATTAAATCTATTTAATTCCATTAAACCAATTAAATTCAATTAAACCAATTAAATTCAATTGAACCAAGATAAACCAGAATCAAATCAATTAAATTCAATTAAACCAATAAACCAGATTAAACCACACAAACACACAATTCATCACATAAACAACCAAAATATCATGAAATAACAATTAAAACATAAACTCATCAAGAACAACCACAAACCAAATCTAATCTAGCAAATCACGGACCCACAGTCATGCACTCACCTTGACAATTGACTGAAACTGAAGGAAAAAGGAAGGACGATGAACAGTGCCGAATCGCGGATGAACAGTAACCCGTGAACAGTACCGATGAACAGTAACCCGTGAACAGTACCGATGAACAGTGCCGATGAACAGTAAAATTCGAAAATCTCTCCAAAAACTCAACTTTTCTCCTCTACAGCATCTGAACTCGAAAATTCTCCAAAGAGAAGACGGCTGCACTCTTTAAACTTGATTTTAGGGCTTTCTCCACTAAACCGACCCAAACCAATTCACTTAAATTGAACCGACAAAATTCCCAATTTTTATTTTTGGTTTATGGATGTTACAACTCTTCCCCACTAAACTGGATTCGTCCTCGAATCCCAACGCAAACGTCACAAAGACCACAAAACCCAACCTCGCAAGGCCGCAACACCGGAGATCCTCACTTGATCCCCGAGACAAACGTCATATCTTATGTCATAAACACGTTCCAAGAAAATTTCACTCCTAACTCATCATCCAAACACACCAAACAACTTGTACTGAGGCCCACTTGCACCCAGACAAGTCCACACCGGTCCGCACTGAGGCCCACTTGCACCCAGACGAACCCGAAAACGTCCATACTGAGGCCCACTTGCACCCAGATGAACTAAACTGCTTATACTGAGGCCTACTTGCACCCATATAAGCTACACTCAACTGAGGCCTACTTGCACCCAGAGAGTCTGCCAGAGAACGAAGTCTCCAAAAACATGATGAGTTATTCAGGATCGCAATCCTTAGAGTAAAAATTCCGGAAAATGTCTATAACCATAAGATTAGACCGTCTCACAACCAAAAACTGGTCAAACATGTGTAACATCCGAATACCTTTTCACAACACAAGGCAAAATGAGGAAAAACTGCATCTCATTAAAACTCCAAAATGTATATCGTTACAACGAAAACGAAAATACAATAACACCAAAGCCAAAAATAACAACTGAGGCTACAAAGATGAAATAAGCTCACTCCTCGACCTGCTTGTCGAACCACTTCCTGAACTTCAACTTCATCTTTGCCTCTGGCTCCCAAGTCTCCTCTGTAGAACCACTGCAATCCCACAAAATCCTCAGTAAGGGAATCCTCTTGTTCCTCAGAACCTTTTCCCTCCTCTCTAAAATCCTCATAGGCACTGCCGGCACTGTCAAATCTGGCTGAAGATCCTCTGGAATCCTAGCCACTAACTCCTCTGTAGGTGAAGACACTTCCTCAGCATCGACACATGAAAAACCTTGTGAAAGGCTTTCATAATCTCAGGCAACTCCAGCCTGTAAGCCAATGGCCCAACTCGCTCCACTACTGGAAACGGACCCATAAATCGCGGACTCAGCTTGTTCTCTGCTATGGATCTGTTAGGACCCCTCAACATAGCCATCTTGAGATAAACTCTATCTCCAACCTGAAACTCAAGCTCTCGTCTGCGTCTATCTGCATAACTCTTCTGCCTATCCTGAGCCTCCTTCATGTTCAGCCTCACAACACGAACCTTCTCTGTCGTCTCCTGAACATAAGTAGCTCCATACATGCTGCGCTCCCCCACTTGGGTCCAGCATAGGGGTGTCCTACATGGCCTCCCATACAAAGCCTCGAATGGAGCCATGCCAATACTCGCCTGAAAGCTGTTGTTGTATGCAAACTCAACTAAGCTCAGGTGATCTGCCCAATGGCCACCCCAATCCAACACACACATCCTCAGCAAATCCTCCAAAGTCTGAATAGTCCTCTCTGACTGACCATCTGTCTGCGGATGATAAGCTGTACTCAGATGCACCTTAGTGCCCATCTCTGCCTGAAACGCCCTCCAAAACTCTGAAGTGAATCTGGGATCACGGTCTGACACAATACTAGCTGGCACTCCATGCAGCCTCACAATCTCTCGCACAAACTTCCTAGCCAAGACAGCAGCTCCATCTGTCTTCTTGATGGCCAAGAAATGTGCAGACTTAGTCAACCGATCCACAATCACCCAGATAGCATCGAAAGTCCTGAAACAGGTAGTCCAACCACGAAATCCATCGTAATCCTGTCCCACTTCCACTCTGGAATGGGTAAACTCTGCAAAAGACCACCCGGAACCTGATGCTCTGCCTTCACCAAGGCACAAGTGTTGCACTTCGCAACCCAGTCTGCTACATCCCTCTTCATCCCGACCCAATGATAGTACCTCTTGAGGTCATGGTACATCTTGGTCGCTCCCGGATGAATGGAAAACTTGCTCGCGTGAGCCTCTCCCAAAATCTGATGTCTCAACTCCACATCCTTAGGCACACAAACTCGCCCACGAACCAAGATAGTCCCATTCGCAGAGACCTCATACTCAGAACCAGTCACTCTCGTCGCATCTAGCAAACTCTGATCACTCTGCTGAGCAACTCTGATCCTGCTAAGTAGATCCGCCTGATCCACTGCCTCTAAACCCAAAGGCTCCTGCGAAATGGCACACAAACGCAAGGTACTGATCTCGCCAACTAGAGACTCCACATCTCGCTCAACTGCGGAATCATACCTCCGTCTACTCAACGCGTCCGCCACTAGGTTAGCCTTGCCCGGATGGTAGTTAATGCTCACCTGATAATCCGCCAAGAACTCAACCCAGCGCGTCTGTCTCGCGTTCATCATCGGCTGAGTGAAGATATGCTGCAAACTCTTGTGATCCGTGAAGACCTGTACTGTCTCACCTAGCAAGTAAGACCTCCAAATCTTCAACGCGAAGATCACTGCTCCCAACTCTAAGTCATGTGTAGGACGGTTACGCTCACTGCCCTGCCACTGTCTCGAAGCATATGCTATCACTCTGCCCTCCTGCATCAGCACACAACCAAGACCAATGCCTGAAGCATCTGTATACACCATGTAAGGCTTCCCTGGCTCGGGTAACGCCAACACTGGTGTAGTAGTCAACATCTCCTTGAGCTGACTAAAGCTCTCCTCACACTCAGCTGACCAAATAAAAGGGACATCCTTCCCGGTCAACTTCGTCATCGGCTGCGCCATGGTAGCAAACCCCTTGACGAACCTCCTGTAGTATCCTGCCAAACCCAGAAAACTCCTGATCTCGGTGGCACTACTAGGTCTAGGCCAATCTCTGATAGCCTCAATCTTAGCCGGATCCACAGAAACTCCCTCTGCAGAAACAATGTGGCCAAGAAATCCCATCTCTCGCTGCCAGAAACTGCACTTGCTCAACTTAGCAAAAAGCTTCTGCTCCCGAAGCTTCTCCAGAACCAACCTCAAGTGAGTCGCATGCTCCTCCTGACTCCTCGAGTATACCAGAATATCATCAATGAAAATGATGACGAACACGTCCAAATACTCCCTGAACACGTCGTTCATCAATCTCATGAAGGCTGCCGGCGCGTTAGTCAAACCGAAAGGCATAACCACAAACTCAAAATGCCCATAACGCGTCCTGAAAGCAGTCTTCCTGACATCTGCCTCATCTATCGGGATCTGATGATACCCCGATGCCAAGTCAATCTTGGAGAACCAAGTAGCACCCCTCAACTGATCCACAACTCATCAATCCTCGGGAGTGGGTACCTGTTCTTCACAGTGACTCGGTTAAGACCTCTGTAATCGATACAAAGTCTGAAACTGCCATCCTTCTTCTTCACAAACAACACCGGTGCTCCCCACGGTGAAACACTTGGTCGAATGAACCCCTTAGACAAAAGGTCCTCTATCTGCTTCTTCAGCTCTGCCAACTCAGCTGGCGCCATCCTGTAAGGCGTCTTCGATATCGGTGCTGTCCCCGGCTCTAACTCAATCGTGAAAGGATCAGACCGAGATGGTGGTAATCCCTTCAGTGACTGAAAGACATCCTCAAAATCCTGGACAACCTCAATATCTCCCATAACAACTCCAGCTCCTGACTCAGACATAGAAATCGTCGCCAGATACGCCTCACAGCCCCGCTCTAACAACTGCTCGGCCTGAATAGCAGATATCACAATACTCCCGGAAGTCGGTCTCACTCCCTGATAAACCAACCTCCCTGCATCTCGCTCGAAGACCACTCTACCTCTGTAGCAATCCAGATGAACTCTGTAGTGTGACAACCAGTCCATCCCGAGAATAACGTCATACAGCTCCACCGGACTGATGACTAAGTCTGCTGGCATTGACTGCCCCGCAATCTCGATCTCGACTCCTCTAGCACGGCCCAAAGTAGACAAGAATCCACCTCCCGCCACCTTGACCATGCCCGCGCTCTCGCCCGCGCTACTCCGGATGCCACTCTTCTCGGCACGCTCCGGTGTAATGAAGCAATTCGATGCTCCAGAGTCGAATAAAACGTGGGACTCAAAACCGCCCACTAACAAGGTCCCTACACATTCAATTGCGTTGAGAACCTCCACAAGACTATCACAGATAAAAATGACTAACAGACAATACACAACAACAATTCTATACTAAGAATTTACAAAGTCTGAGTCGAAGATTTACCTGTGATCTGCCCGGTCTGACTAGTCCCGCCAGTCTCCACTGAAGAGTAACCCCGCGGCGCCGGTGCAATCTGACCCAACGGCTGCACTGCTGCGATCTGACTCACTGGCTGAGCCGCTACTGGCTGAACCGAAGCCACCGACATACTCCGCAACTTAGGACACATGGGCTTGATATGCCCAGGCTCCTTGCAGTAGTAGCACACCCTCGGTGCTGACTCTCTCTTGGGACAACTCGAAACACGATGCTCCGTGCTCCCACACCCAAAACAGGAACCACGAGGAAACTGACTAGCACCAGAAAACTCCTCTCTACTCCTCTTCTGACCCTGCGCAGGCAAACCGCCCCTGCCAGAACCAGAACTGAAACTCGAACCACCTCTGCTGCTGCTGCTGCTGCTGTCGCGGCTGCTGATGCTGACCCCGAGGCTGGGTAGCAGAAGCAACTGCTGACGGCACAGCCACCGGACCAACTGGCCCACCAAGATCCGCCTCAACCGACGCGGCCAACTCTACCAGACTCGCCCTCGAAGTGTGCATACTACTCCTGCATAGAGTCCGAATATCCTTGCGAAGTCCCTCCAGAAATCTGTTCGTCAACTGATGCTCAGCCTCCATACCAAAGCCCGCATGCACTAACAGACGGCTGAACTCCTCATCATACTCGCGTACAGAACGCGAACCCTGCTCAATGCCCATAAACCGCATCTGAAGACGATCACGAGCCTGCCTCGGGAAATACTTGGCGTTGAACTCCACAAGGAAGTCGCCCCAAGTCCAAAATGCCCTCCGGCCCACCGCGGCCTGCCACCACAAATGAGCATCGCCACTCAAATAGTGGACCGCTAACTCCACCCAGTACTCATCGGACAACGGATCGAATGAAAGTTCCGCTCCACTCTCTGACGCCACGCGTCTGCCTCCTCTGGACCAACTCTACCCTCGAAGAAAGGCGTACCAATCCTCTGCATGTGGCCCATAAACTCCAAATAACGGTCACACCCGCATCCACAGCCTCCGGCTGCGCAACGCCTGCAGCAACATGCTGCACCTCTGCCACTGGCGGTACTCCTGGAGCCCCCTGTGGAACCACCGGCGGAAAACGAGCCAACAGCTGCGTCAGCAAACCCACCACTAAGTCATCAGACCCGGAGCCGGAGCGCCACCCCCACCCGGAGCAGCCCCCGCTCCCAAACCAACACTCGCACTGGCATCACCCGCCAACGGAACTGACTGGGTCACCGACGCAGTATGCACACTCGGTGCCACACTCTCTCCCGACTCCTCCGGAAGTCCACGACCACGACCTCGGCCCTCGGCCTCCAGCTCTACCACCAGCTCTGCCGCCACGGCCACTCTGCCGCCACGCCTCTAGCACCGCGCCCTCTCGCGCCACGACCTCTAGGAGCTCCGTCCATCTCACTGCATGGACCCGAACATGAGCAACTAGACAATAACACAAAACACAAACACCAATAACTCACCGCGGAATCTCCTTTAGCTGAAGGGGATGATACTAAGCCTAGCAATTCTAACAGTCCTAAAACCGTCTAGGCTCTGATACCAAAATGAAACAACCAACATTTTTTTTTTTTTAATAAATATTAATCAATTCTAGCGAAGGTCTTTAAAAATAAATTAAATAAATAAAATATCAATAACAAATAAATCAGCTCAGCGGAAGCAAATAATAATTAAACAAGTCTAGCAAAATAATGCAAAACAATAAAACAGTAAACATCCTATCATCCCCCTCTTCAGCCTTGATTCCGCGATCACACAAATCTTTTACCTGCAACACATTGGAATGGAGTTGCGTAAGTATTTAATAAATACTTAGTGAGGCAATCACTCTGCCTACGAGCCATTTACGCAATTTACTAGATATTTAATAATATTTATAAACTCCAATAATTATTAAATACCATTTTCCAATTATTAAATAATTTTAATAATTAAAACTCAATTTCTCAATTATTAAATAATTCTCATAATTAAATAATAATTTTCCATATTTTAAAATAATTAAAATAATACCAATTAATTAAATAAATATTATTTAATTAATTAAATCCGAATTAAATCTATTTAATTCCATTAAACCAATTAAATTCAATTAAACCAATTAAATTCAATTGAACCAAGATAAACCAGAATCAAATCAATTAAATTCAATTAAACCAATAAACCAGATTAAACCACACAAACACACAATTCATCACATGAACAACCAAAATATCATAAAAATAACAATTAAAACATAAACTCATCAAGAACAACCACAAACCAAATCTAATCTAGCAAATCACGGACCCACAGTCATGCACTCACCTTGACAATGATTGAAACTGAAGGAAAAAGGAAGACGATGAACAGTGCCGAATCGCGGATGAACAGTAACCCGTGAACAGTACCGATGAACAGTAACCCGTGAACAGTACCGATGAACTCGAAAATTCTCCAAAGAGAAGACGGCTGCACTCTTTAAACTTGATTTTAGGGCTTTCTCCACTAAACCGACCCAAACCAATTCACTTAAATTGAACCGACAAAATTCCCAATTTTTATTTTTGGTTTATGGATGTTACAGAAACAATTAACACTTTTTATATATATATTAAATAAAACCTAACATGTCTAGCAAAGGTCTTTGAAAATAAATTAAATAAATAATAATAAAATGACAATATAAATTCAGCTCAGCGGAAGCAAATAAATAATTAAACAAGTCTAACAAAACAATGCAAAATAAATAAAAGCAGTAAACATCCTATCAACCCCTCTTCAGCCTCGATTCCGCGATCACACAAATATTTTACTTGCAACACATTAAAATGGAGTTGTGTAAGTATTTAATAAAATACTTAGTGAGGCAATCATCCTGCCTACAGGCCATTTACGCAATTTACTAGCAATTAAAATAACATAATAATTATTATTATTATAAAGCTCAATAATTAATAAAACTTCAATTCTTAATTATTAACTAATTCTCATATTTAAAATAATTTAAACTAATTATTTTAATCCAATTAATTAATTAAATGATATTTAATTAATTAAATCTGAATTAAACCAAGATAAATCAATTCAATTCAATTAAACCAAGATAAACCAATTAAATCAATTAAATTCAATTAACCGGGATTAAACCACATAAACATTCAATTTACTACAGAAACAACCAAAATACCATGAAATAACAATCAAACACATAAACTCATCAAGAACAACCACAAACCAAATTGAATTCAGCAAATCACGGACCCACAGTCATGCACTCACCTTGACAATGGATTGAAAACTGAAGGAAATAAGAAACACGATGAACAGTGCCGAATCGCGACGATTAACAGTACCGATGAACAATGTCGATGAACAGTACCGATGAACAGTGCTCCGATCCAACACCAAAACTCAAAAATCTCTCCAAAAACTCCACTTTTCTCCTCTGCAGCCTAAGAGAAGAAGGTTGCACTATTTTAAACTTAATTTTAGGGCTTTCTCCACTAAACCAGCCCAAACCAGTTCACTTAAATTGAACCGAAAAAATTCCCAATTTTTGGTTTATGGATGTTACAAGAAGCGAAAGTTTTAACTAAAAACATTTTAAATTGGAAGGGTTACCGATAAAGCAAATAAGTAGCTTTGAGTATCCATTATTCCATTATTATTGAATAACAAGTTGTACATATGATGTTTGTTTGCAATACCAAAAGAACAAGTACAAAAAATTTACAAACAAGTAAATGTACACATCATCATTGCATACATGGTCGATCCAATCCATGCACTCATGATCATCACATCTCTGGTTGTCTCTATATCATAAAGGAATTAACTGATATGAAATTCTTGTATAAATGATGATGAACATAATTTTGCTTTTTATAGAATACCATAAAGGGAATTACCTGATATGAAATTCTTGGCTAAATTGGATGCATTGAAAGGATATTCATAGTCTGAAGGGTATTCAAATGTTTTATTTGTCGATCTCCATTTATTCCTTGACAATGAATCATTTACTCGCTGAACTTGAGCTTTGTATTTCTGAAAAGAAGAAAGTAATGGTGAAAATGATATTAGAAGGCTATCATAAGATCACAACGGTTTATACGTAGAATAAAAGTATATATGCGGAACCTGGAAGGTGGCTACCGACTTGACATTGACTTAAATCTTGGTCATTCAGTATACTCAATATGGATTTGGGATGAGAATCTGTAGGATTAATGAAGTATAAGAAAATAATATAAACAAATGAGAAATGGTTAACAACAATCAAATAGAAATCTTACCTTTTGTCTCCCAAGATAGAGATAGCAGCCAAAAACTTCATGTGACGTTCTTGAGTCCATAAACTCCTAGGTCTCCCAATATTACTCTCCACTTTCTTCTCTTCCCTTCTCTTATTCTCGGTCTCAATTAGACACACCGGTTTGGTTTTCCATTAAGCATTTGCTACACTCTTCTCTTTTGGTACATTTCAGAGAAGCTTTGAATGTTTCCATAAATGGCTTTTTCCTAGGAAATATGTTTGACTAGTTCTCTGCCTCTTAAGAATTTTCCTGAAAGCTTCAATCTCCTTTATATCTTTTTCGCAAAGTCCATCTTGCTTTTTAGCTATGTTGATTTTCGCTAACTCTTGGCTTTTCTTAAGTAATGCATGCTGCCATAGGTTTTTCATTTTTTTTCATAAATTGGCTTCTTCAGAAAATAGCATGTTCTTCTTGTCAAAAATCTGATGCTTCCTTCGTCTTTGTCTCCGGACTTATCACTATTAATGAGTAAAAATTAAAGAGAAATTTAACTTTGTTTAACGAAATGGCAAAAACAGTAATCTGAATGGAAATATATTCAAATAGACTTACATATGAGAGGAATGTTTTCTGAAGCAAAGAGTTGTGGAATGAATGTGAATCTATGTGAGGCATTTCAATGTTGGCTAAGATAAATACAATCTTCTTTTGCTTTTCGATCATTGATATAGCTTTACTAACCACATTTCGTGCTAATCACTAATTAAAAAATCAAATTATATATTAGTTATTTAAAATTTTCTAAACATTGTGGAATACTTTTTTTATAGATTTTTCTAAATTTTAATACTTTCAGATTTTTAAAGAAAAAAATCTATAAAAAAAATCTATAAAAAAAGTATTCCACAAGGTTTAAAAATTAAATAACTAATATATAATTGATTTTTTTTAATTAGTGATTAGCACGAATGTGGTTAGTAAAGCTATATCAATGATCGAAAAGCAAAAGCAGATTGTATTTATCTTAGCCAACATTGAAATGCCTCATAGATTCACATTCATTCCACAACTCTTTGCTTCAGAGAAACATTCCTCTCATATGTAAGTCTATTTGAATATATTTCCATTCAGATTACTTTTTTGCCATTTCGTTAAACAAAGTTAAATTTCTCTTTAATTTTTACTCATTAATAGTGATAAGTCCGGAGACAAAGACGAAGGAAGCATCAAATTTTTGACAAGAAGAACATGCTATTTTCTGAAGAAGCCAATTTATGAAAAAGAAATGAAAAAAACCTATGGCAGCATGCATTACTTAAGAAAAGCCAAGAGTTAGCGAAAATCAACATAGCTAAAAAGCAAGATGACTTTGCGGAAAAAGATATAAAGGAGATTGAAGCTTTCAGGAAAATTCTTAAGAGGCAAGAACTAGTAAACATATTTCTAGGAAAAAAGACCATTTATGGAAACATTCAAAGCTTCTGAAATGTACCAAAAGAGAAGAAGTGTAGCAAATGCTTAATGGAAAACCAAACCGGTGTGTCTAATTGAGACCGAGAATAAGAGAAGGGAAGAGAAGAAAGTGGAGAGTAATATTGGGAGACCTGGGAGTTTATGGACTCAAGAACGTCACATGAAGTTTTTGGCTGCTATCTCTATCTTGAGAGACAATGGTAAGACTTCTATTTCATTGTTGTTAACAATTTCTCATTTGTTTATATTATTTTCTTATACTCATTAATCCTACAGATTCTCATCCCTTATCCATATTGAGTATACTGAATGACCAAGATTTAAGTTAACGTCAAGCCGGTAGCCACCTCCAAGTTCACATATACACTTTTATTCTACATATAAACCATTGTGATCTTATGATAGCCTTCTAATATCATTTTCATCATTACTTTCTTCCTTTCAGAAATACAAAGCTCAAGTTGAGCGAGTAAATGATTCATTGTCAAGGAATGAATGGAGATTGACAAATAAAACATTTGAGTACCCTTCAGACTATGAATATCCTTTCAATGCATCCAATTTAGCCAAGAATTTCATATCAGGTAATTCCTTTATGGTATTCTATAAAAAGCAAAATTATGTTCATCATCATTTAGCCAAGAATTTCATAAAACTAAATTAAATAGATTAAATGATGGATAACATAGTTTTTTTTGCAATATATTTAATCCATCATTTAACTCAAAATATATATTCTTAATCAAACATAGTTTTTTTGGGAAATAGGGTTTCAAAAATTGAATTGGGAATCAGGGTTTCGAAAATGGAATTGGGATTGAATGAAAATTAGGGTTTGCAATTTAATTTAGGGTTTTCCAGAAAAGTTAGGGTTTATAACTGAAAGGAAAATCAGGTGATAGCTTTCTGATGCTATCTAGGATTTGGATAATCTCGGCTGCTATGGAAAGCTGATGCAGAGATATTTCCAACGATATGAAGATCGTTTCTTGGTTTCCTTCGAGTCGACGGGAAGGTCATTTTGAAGTACTTTTGACGGGATGGAGTTAAAACTTGATATAGAAAATATTATATTAATAAGAAGGCCACGTAATTGGTATTGGGATTTCTAAATTATTAGTAGGGTTTTGGTTTACAATAGAATAATGTTGTAAGATACTTTCATAATTCAATTAAGAAATTAAAAATATCAAAACGAATTTATCCGCTTCTTGCTTTTATCTCTGTTATTCTAGTTTTACTTCTTTTCCTTGTTTCTTCATTCTAAACTCTTTCTACATGAAATTATGTTATGTGTTTTGGGAACATCAAGTGGAGATTTAAATACAAACTCAATACATGGTTTAGTGAAGAAATTCAAGTCCACAGAAAGAATAGAAATGAGAAATTGCAGGTTTGGCACCGTTGGAAGAACAAGGCTGAGAACTTGTATGCAGTTGCCTTTTTAGATAAACTAGATAAGCAACAATCAATTTTCTTGCTTTGATCCAATAAAATCTGGGATTATGGTGGCATTTTTCTACAACTAAAACTACAAGGGAGTTTTTCATCGAACTATATAAACCTTGTGGTCAAGGTTTTTCAAACAGGAGAGATTTGATATAGGAAATTAGTTTTGGGAAAAGATATACAAAATTAGTTTTGAGAAAAGATCTATAACTTTTAATCCACAACTCTGAGTGAAAATCTGCTTTCTCCTACGGCTAGATCTAAGAGTAAGGAAGTCTCTTACCAAAAATCAGCTGATTCTGATCTTATTTGCTTGGCTTTTCCTCCTTTGCACCAAAATGCCTCAGATCTGACTCCTTTCTCTCTCTCTCTCTATATATATATGGATGCAGTGAGTTCTTTTTCGAGGTGATTAAGGTTGGCTCAGTTTTGGCAGATCTTCGTCATTGATATGATATTTGTCTGCCTCTAGGTGGAAGCAGCATGTTTTATATAATGAAGGGAGGTGAGGCTCCTAGGGTTACAGTTTCGGAAAAATGTCTATTTTGCCCTTAAAGATCTTAATGCGCTTTCGAGTTTTGGGTTTCACTTCTAATTGAAAAGGACCACACAAATTAGATGATAAATATAGGATCTTATAAAAATTGGGCTTTAGGGTTGAAGAGTTTAATTAAAAAATATATATCTCAAATTCTGGAATTTGCAAGCCTAATTATTTTAAAAGCATGAATGTCAAAGTTTTTTTTTTTAATTGGTTTCTCAACAAACAACAAACAAGCATGGATGTTAAAGCATGGGTGTTTATTAGTTGTATGATTTCTAAATCCATATAAGATTTATAAATCTTTAAATATAGAATGATGGATTTTGAAATACCAAGGTTTTATCTTGGATTTGTTTCTTTATATTTTTGATTTAAAAACACTTTCAAATCCATTAAAATCCTAAGTGGATTTCCAAATCTATATAACAAATCATTAAACTAATAACACTGGATTTCAACTAGTATTTAGAATCATTGAATGAATTAATGAATTAATAAGGGGGGTTTTGACAAAGATTTTAAAATTACTAATCCAATAAGGGGGAGATTTTAGCTTCGATTTTCAAAACCATTAAAATCGATGAACCAATAATAAACCAAGCAAAGCAAAGAGTAAGGCCCTAACTGAGTAACTGGTGACATATGATTTGAGGAATGTGGCAGAATTTTTACCAAAAAAATAGTCCAGCACCAGTTAGGAAGAATTGTAGAATGACATAAGATGACAAAAAAATGCAAAATACTTAGATACTATTTATTTAAATATGTAACTTTAATTAATATGAAGAATTGTGAAGAATTGAATAATCTATCACTAAAAGACAAAAACATGGTGAGTTTTTAAATAATAATTATTGTGTGTAATTTTTTAATACAATTACTAATTTTTATTATAATAAAGTAAACAATTTAATTGTATATTTCTAAGAATCTAAATTTGAACAATTTCAACAAAAATGTATTCCGATCCTATCAGTTATGAATATTCGAGCTTTGAAATTGTCGGAAACAGAATTTTAATAATAAAACTATGGATCAAAAAATATTTTACATATTTGAATCAAAGTATTTATTAAAAATTTTGCGATAAAGTTCAGATACACTTTTCTTCTTCACGTCTTTTATTTTTTACCTAGTTAAATGCAAATTTTCTATTCTTTTTTCTATATATATCCATGTTGTAATTGTTTCTCCATCAACTCATCTATTATTCGAATCTTTCTTATCATATATTTTATTTTTGTTAAAGGAGAAAATGGCTGAAAATTTAGCTTTCGATTTTAACGAAAGCAAAGTTCTTAAAACATATGGTGATATGTTCATCCTGCTAATCGATCATGACAAATCATTTTTTGCATCTCTCATTTCAATGCTTGAATGATTTTCATGTAAAGGTAAAATTAAATATATTGAGTTAAATGATGATAGCATAGTTTTTTTGCAATATATTTAATCGAGTTTGTGATAAATGAGGAGAGGTTTAAGAGAATTGATTTGGCTACCTATGTCAACAAAGTGCACTTACCTTTTCGGTCAAAGGTCTATAAGTAACTCCAGAGTTAAGCGTGCTTGGGCTGGAGTAGTTGAAGGATTGGTGACCTTCCGGGAAGTGGTTTCGGAAACTGTGTGAGTTAGGAGAAAACACGGGAGAAGGTCGGGTGATGATTGCAGGGATAGTAAATACATTCTCGGAGCCTCCCAAAAATAACGCACCGACCGTCGGACAGGGGTGGAGCCCACGGGCCGAGAGAGGGCGTAGGTGACTCACCGGGAGGGGCGGCGGGTATAACATCCCGGTTTGTGATAAATGAGGAGAGGCTTAAGAGAATTGATTTGGCTACCTATGTCAACAAAGTGCACTTACCTTTTCGGTCAAAGGTCTATAAGTAACTCCAGTTAAGCGTGCTTGTGCTGGAGTAGTTGAAGGATGGGTGACCTTTCGGGAAGTGGTTTCCGAAACCGTGTGAGTGAGGCCAAAACACGGGGAAAGGTCAGGTGTTGATTGCAGGGATAGTAAACAAATCATTAGAGCCTCTCGAAAATAACGGACCGGCCGTCGGACAGGGGTGAGGCCCACGGGCCGAGATGCGGGCCTAGAGAGAGGGCGTGGGTGACTCACCGGAAGGGGCGGTCGGGGCGTTATAATTTGGTATCAGAGCCAAACCCAGACGAGAGTGTGGAGTCAAGTTGAAGTGGCCTTGACTCACACCGTCAGGGGGTGACGATCCAGGTGCGCAACGAGGACGTTGCGCGCAGTTAGTGGGGGTGAGTTGTAACATCCCGGTTTGTGATAAATGAGGAGAGGCTTAAGAGAATTGATTTGGCTACCTATGTCAACAAAGTGCACTTACCTTTTCGGTCAAAGGTCTATAAGTAACTCCAGTTAAGCGTGCTTGCTGGAGTAGTTGAAGGATGGGTGACCTTTCGGGAAGTGGTTTCCGAAACCGTGTGAGTGAGGCCAAAACACGGGGAAAGGTCAGGTGTTGATTGCAGGGATAGTAAACAAGTCATTAGAGCCTCTCAAAAATAACGGACCGGCCGTCGGACAGGGGTGAGGCCCACGGGCCGAGATGGGCCTGCGGGCCAGAGAGAGGCGTGGGTGACTCACCGGAAGGGGCGGTCGGGGCGTTATAGCGGGGGCGTTACACTTCTAACATAGGTTTTTTGGGAAATAGGGTTTCAAATATTGAATTGGGAATTAGGGTTTCGAAAATTGAATTGGATTTAATGAAAATTAGGGTTTCCAATTTTATTTAGGGTTTTCCAGAAATGTTAGGGTTTCTGACTGAAAGGAAAATCAGGTGATAACTTTCCGATGCTATCTCGGATTTGGATAATCTTGGCTGCTATGGAAAACTGATTCAGAGATTTTTCCAACGATATGAAGATCATTTCTTGGTTTGCTTCGAATCGACGAGAAGGTGCTTTTGAAGTCCACTGTCGACGGAGTTAAATAAGAAGGCCACGTAATTGGTATTGGGATTTATAAATTATTAGTAGGGTTTTGGTTTACAATAGAAAAAAATTGTAAGATACTTTCATACTTCAATTAAAAAAATATCAAAATGAATTTATCCGCTTCTCGCTTTTATCTCTGTGATTCTAGGTTTACTTATTTTCTTTGTTTCTTCATTCTAAACTCTTTCTACATGAAATTAGGATATGTGTTTTAGGAACATCAGTTTTCTATTATCTATTGGATTATTGTGAACATACGATTTTCCTCTATCAAAGGTATCGAGCTATTCTTTCCTCGAAATTTATGGCGGCCACATGAAATCCATATGTGCTTCAGGAAGCTGATGTACAAGGGTTGCTGGAAAAATTAGAATCTCTAAAAGATACAATCGCCGAGAAAAATCAAAAATCAAGAAGGGTTTGGCTGATATGCGCAGAGTTGCTTCACGACTCAAAGTCAGTGTGGATATTGACTCCACACCGAGCGTGAATCGCATGAGACCACTGAATCATATACAATGACTCATTGTGTTCCACAAACTCAGCTACCAAATTCTATTATGGAACATAGCCATAGATTTTGCAGTAGATCTTTAGACGTCTGTGAGGATTTTCCATATGCATATGCAATTGTGGGAAGCGATCAAGTTCAGTTTCAATCTGAGTTTAAATGTGTGAATGAAAAAGATAATGCATACCACGTGTTTGACAAGGAAAAGTACAAATTACAGCAAAGGTAGAAACTGAGTTTGTTTTCTAAGTCTTGGAAATTGAAGTTCAAAGGAAAATTTGATGCTGAATTTTGCTCTGGGTCACATTGTGGTTTGGATTTTGATGTTGGTGTCACAACTTGCATATCAATGGATGAACAGAACTGCGGAAATGGTGATAAGAAGTCTTACATGAAGCACAAGTGGAGATTTAAATACAAACTCAATACATGGTTTAGTGAAGAACTTTGTTTCTAGAGAAAGAACAGAAATGGGAAATTGCAGGTTTGGCCCCGTTGGAAGAAGAAGGCTGAGAACTTGTATGCAGTTGCCTTTTTAGATGAACTAGATAAGCAACAATCAATTTTCTTGCTTCGATCCAACAAAATATGGATCATGGTGGCATTTTTCTACAACTAAAACTACAAGGGAGTTTTTCATCGAACTATATAAACCTTGTGGTCAAGTTTTTCAAATAGGGGAGATTTGATATAGGAAATATGATATTATAAAATAGGGCCATGTAACTGGTATTGGGTTTTATAATCAAAGTTGTTATTAGGTTTTCAAAATTATTATATGATTTTGGTTTTCTATATAAAAAGGTTGTAATACACTTTCATAATTCAATTAAGAAATATCAAAAGGAATTTATTCTCTTCTCTCTTTTATCTCTATGATTCTAGGTTTACTTCTTTTCATTGTCTGTTTGAGTTGTTTCTTCATTCTAAACTCTTGCTACATGAAATTAGGATCTGTGTTTTAGGAACATAAATTCTATAATCTATTGGATTATCTTGAACATATGATTTTGATGTACTCAACATTTAGCATTACAATTGCATAGTTTTGTATGTCTTTGAGTCTCATTTTATACCATTTAGTGTAAGTTTCATCTCCTTAGGAACATTTAGCTTTTAGAATAGCATTTTGCATTTTCCATTGCATTTGGAGTGTTTTCCTAGGTGTTTGAGGCGTTTAGCAAGCTGGAAGCAAGTTGGGGTAGTGATGGAGCAAGACAGAGAAGCTAGAAGCTGATCAGAGTTCAGAAGTGTTCAAGAAGTTCGCAGACCAGAGGACTTGAGCAAGAGAACAAAGCACTTGAGAGTTTGCTCAAGACCGTCAAAAGGACAAAGTCAACAGGGACGGAGTTGACCAAGGGTCCACTTATCTTTTACTATAAATAGCTGAAGACCTAATTTTATTAGGCATCTTGGATCTTTTCCTTGATCAAAAACCTCTCTCTTTGCCTCCTTTCTTCTATTTTCGTTTTTGTAAGATCTTGGTTTGATTTTAATGATTTTGAAAGTACTTCTTCTTTGAATCTTTCTTATTTATCTCATTTAATCATAATCATCATCTTATTTCTCTTAATTTCGAATTTCTCATGTCTCTTGAGTAGTCTCTTTAGGCTCATGGGATGAGTTAGATTTAGGGAGATTTGATGGTCAACCTTGATGTTTAGGACTTGATTTGCTTTAATCCTTCTTATTTAGTGATCTTAATGCTAGATTAGCTTTGTGAAAAATGGCATTTAGATCCAAGTGTTTGATGAAATTGCTTGAACCAAATTCATCAAGAGATTTGCATTCCTAGCTCATGAGAGTGATTGTCTAGGGTGTTTATTGGCTTTCTAGAACTGAATCTTAATGCTTGCTTTAATCAATTTCACTAATGAAATTAGTTCTTGAAATTGGTAATTAGCAAAGTGATTAGTACCATGAGAGTGGATTAGTCTTTTAATGAGTTCTTTGCCTAAGGATTAGCAATCATTAAATTGTTTGAGCATCATAGATTGACTTGAGAATCTCCCAAGGTCAATGACCCTCATCCCAAGTGCCTCCATTTGCATTTCTTTCATCTTTGCATTTTTATTTTATGCTTTTGTTCATTTAGGTTGTTAGATCAAAACATTTCGAATTTGCTTAGCTCACTTATGTTTCATGCATTCTTGATGTTCTATCTTGACCTTTCTGGATTTGACAAAGAACCTCAAGCTATATACAATTGATTAAGAAGAGGTTCATTTGCATAGAGCATACAAAAATACCTCTTTCAGATTTTCTTCTATCAGATCTACAAAATTAGTTTTGGGAAAAGATCTATAACTCTTGATCTATAACTTTTAATCCACGGCTCTAAGTGAAAATCTGCTTTCTCCTACTGCTAGATCTAAGAGTAAGGAAGTTACTTACCGGAAATCAGCTGCTTTTTCTCCTTTGCACCAAAATGCCTCAGATCTGACTCATTTGTCTCTCTAGATGGATGCAGTGAGTTCTTCTTCGAGGTGGCTAAGGTTGGCTCAGTTTTGGCAGGACTTCGCCGTGATATGCTATTTGTCTGCCTCTAGGTGGAAGCTTTTTTCTTATATAATGAAGGGCGGCGAGGCTCCTAGGGTTATAGTTTCGGGAAAATGTCTATTTTTACCCTTAATGATCCAAATGGGCTTTCGGATTTTGGGTTTCACTTCTAATGGAAAAAGACCACACAAATTAAATGATAAAATATATGATCCTATTGGAAATGGGCTTGAGGGTTGAAGAGTTTTTCTTTTTTAAATATACCTCTCAAATTCTGGAATTTGCAAGCCTTATCATTTTAAAAGCATGGAAGTCACAGTTAAAAAAAAATGGTTTCTCAACAAACCACCTTACCCAATATGGGATACTTTATGGGGGTTTAATAGTTGTATGATTTCTAAATCCATACAAGATTTAGAAATCTTTATATATAGAATGATGGATTTTGAAATACCAAAGTTTTATCTTGGATTTGATTCTTTATATTTTTTACTTAAAAACAATTTCAAATCCATTAAAATCCAAAGTGGATTTCCAAATAACAATTATTAAACCAATAACACCGGATTTCAGTTAGTATTTATAATCATTGAATGAATGAATGAATGAATGAATAAGGAGGGATTTTGACAAATGTTTTTTTTTTTTAACACTGGATTGACTAATCTATTACACAAATTTTGACAAATGTTTTAAAATTACTAATCCAATAAGGGGGAATTTTAGCCTGGATTTTTAAATCCATTAAAATCAATGAACCAATAAACCGATCTAAGCAAAGAGTAAAGACAACACATGAAAACTTTTGGGAGATTTGTGAACATAGGCTAAAAAAACACCCCTCTTATCCTAATACACCATTTTGAAATTTACCATTTTTTGACTTCTCAATCCTTGTAAAATGTATATATTTATATAATATATATTTTTATAAATATTTTTTGTAAAAAAAAAATTTCAAAAAATTGAAGAATAATATGGCGAATGTTATGCCAGTTGTTTAATAAAAAAAAGATGTGTTTAACATATGTGTTTTAAAATTTCTATGTTTTCATATATGCAAAGTAGAATTCATATTCTACTTGCTCCTCTCTTTTCTACTAACAGAAAAATATGATTTCTTTGTTATCTTCAGTAGTCTACTACCGTAGAACATAAGGTTTAACTTATGGTCACGTTTTAAAATTAGTAGAAAAGACATTCTGTTAGTGGTAAAACTGCTTTCTAAATTTTACCATTATCCTAATACACCTTTTTGAAATTTATCATTTTTTTTACTTCCCAATCCTTGTAAAATGTATATATTTATATAATAGTTTTTTTTTAAATATTTTTTGTAAAAAAAAATTCAAACAATTGAAGAATAATATGGTGAATGTTATGCCATTTTTTTAATAAAACAAAAGATGTGTTTAACATATGTGTTTTAAAATTTCTACGTTTTCAAATATGCAAAGTAGAATTCATATTCTACTTGCTCCTCTCTTTTCTACTAACAGAAAAATATGATTTCTTTGTTATCTTCAGCAGTTTACTACCGTAGAACATAAGGTTTAACTTATGGTCACGTTGTACCATTAGTAGAAAAGACATTCTATCAGTGGTAAAAACTGCTTTCTAAATTTTACCATTAGTAGAAAGGACATTCTACCGAAGCATTTTCTTCTTCTTCTTTCTACTTGCTCCTCTCTTTTCTACTAACAGAAAAATATGATTTCTTTGTTATCTTCAGCAGTTTACTACCGTAGAACATAAGGTTTAACTTATGGTCACGTTTTACCATTAGTAGAAAGGACATTCTACCGAAGCTTCTTCTTCTTCCTCCTCCTTTTAGGGTCTATGTTGATGTTCCTCTAAATCATTTGTATCATTTTTTCTGGTTTCTTTCTCATCATTTCTCTTCTGGTTACTTTTCTGGTTTCTTTAATTATGTTGCATATCTATGTGTATTGTGTGGAAATGGTGTTCAATAAAAGAATTGGATTTCATTGCCGATGAAGAGAAATGAGAGAATGAGTTAGGGAGAAAAAAAAAATAAGATATGAGAAAACAAAAAGCGATTTTTTGTCTTTGTTATTTTATTTTAAAAATATTAATATGATTTCTGTATATTGTTAATCTTTATGTTAAAATATATTAATCTCTATTTTGAAGGCTAAATTCGGCAAATTTAACATTATTATAGTATTTGCTAAGTCAGAATTTCGTTGAGAAATTTTATGAAATACACCTCTTGGGGTGCAAATTTTCAAAACTACACCTATAGTGTGAAAATTTTCAAAAATACACCTTTTTCTAATTTTAATATATATGTTTGGGTTCACTAATCCTAGATTAGGGTTTAGATTTTGGGTTTTAGGGTTTAGATTTAAGGGTTCAATGTTATATTTTAGGGTTTTGGATTTATATTTTAGGGTTTAGAGTTCTTTTACTCCATGAAAAAAGTGTAGTTTTGAAAATAAACACCATAGAAGTGTATTTTTGAAAATTTGCACCTCAAGAGGTGTAGTTTTGAAATTTCCCCAATTTCGTTTCAAGGCATCATGTTCGCTCTCAGTTACGGAATTACCAAGATACCCTTTATGAAAATCTTAATAATATCTTTTAATTTTCCTTTTTTATTATTGATTCTTTTTTATTTATTTAAATTTTAAAATAAATATTATAAAATTATTTTATTCAAATTAAACACTCTATTCTTAAATTACCAAGATACCCTTAATAAAAAATCTTGCTAATATCTTACTATTAATCTATTTTAAACCAATAAAAGATAAATTTACTATTAACCAATAAAAATTCTTAGACAAAATCATTATAAATATTAAAAAGAAAAAATTGTTTAGAAAAGACAAGATGAGACGAAGAAAATAAAATAAGAGAGGGTTACACATAGGATATAATGTTGTTTAGGATGTATATGGTATACTATAGTGTAGTCAAAAACAATTTCCTTAAAAATAAAATAAAACAATAAACGTAAATCAAGAACAAGTGTATAATATAGGGTTATGTGTAGTGTTAAGGGGGGAGTGGAGTTTACATAATGTAGGGTTAGGTTTTAGGGTGTAGGGTGTAGGGTTTATGGTGTACTGTTAAAGGAGGGGAGGGGTTTATAGTGTAGGGTTAGCGTGCACTTTTAAATGAGGGTTTATGGTGAGGGTATGTAGATCTAGAGAGAATTGGTGCATTACCAATTGAAAGCATACCAAAAAAATAACTTAGCTAATTGAAAGCATGCCAAAAAGATAACTTATAGAGAGATATGGCGTAAACGGTATATTTGTTGAAGTTCAAATTGTGTAAATTGTTTAAATTGAGAGGACAATGAGGAAGAAGATGAAATTGTTATAGTTTAAATTGTTCAGAAAATATATTTAAAATAACTGAAATGGTTTCGTCCACAATATCGAGAGAATGAATATCATGAAAACTTTGAAAAGAACAAAAATATATGAAACTAATTATTGTATAATTATTTCTAAAATATTTGATTTGATTCGAATATATAGATTATTTATATGACCATATTTTGATAGTATTTTTTAAAATATTATTGTAATGTTTGAATGATGAAAAAAAAGCCAAAAGCCGGCTTAATTTTTTTTTAATCTTGGGCCCAGGATCTCACTTGTGTAGCTTCTTGAGCTATGGCTAAAAATTTGAGTCTTTCTCTTACAATCAAGTAGTATCACAGTAGCTTTGGGAGCTAGAGCCATGTCCATGGCGACTCCTTCTTCTTCTCTTGCCACCCAGTCCTTTATTTACATATTTGAATCAAAGTAATAATAATGTTTCGAGGTGATGTATTACATAATACTTTTTTAGTCTAAATTATAGTAAGATCTAATATATATTTTAAATAATTATAACACATAAATTTTGTACAAGAACAAAAGAATAACGAATGGTGTCTATATGCATACAGTACATAAGTAAATTAAACTGTAAATATGAGATTTTTTTTTATAAGTGAATTGGTTGTATTAAAATTGTTATATTTTTAAAATGTGAATTTTCATTTTTAGATCTAAATTCCTAAATTCTATATATTTTAAATAATTTATATTATTTAAGTATTATTTAGTTATGAGTTCACGAATATTTTTTATTTATTTTATTAATTCAACTGGGTAAATATTTTGTTTCAGTTACACAAATATTCTACTACTCCCTCTGTCCCATATTATAAGCAGTTTAGAAAAATGTATCTGCAATTATTTAGATGTATATGGATGTGTTTTAAGTCCATATACATTCAAATAATTGCAGATAACACATCCAGATACATCCAAATAATTGCAGATACATTTTCCCAAACTGCTTATAATATGAGACAGAGGGAGTAGTATTTATTTTGCATTCAGCAACATTTAGTTGTTATTATTCATATCTCTAACTAATCAGCCATATTTCGCAATAAATATTCATTTAATTCCGCATTCCGTAACATTCAGCGGTTACCATCTAGACCCTAAAAGTAAAACAATACATGAAACTCTCTTTTCTCTTTTTGGCTATTTAATTGTTCGATTTTGGTAAAGGATCAAAAGCCTGGGTTAAGACTTTTCAATCTTGGGCCCAGGATCTCACTTGTGTAGCTTCTTAGAGGGCCTGACTCAAAATTTGAGCCTTTGTATTACAATCAAGTAGTATCACAATAGCTTTGGGAGCTAGAGCCATGTCCATGGCGTCTTCTTCTTCACTTGCCACCCAGTCCTTTTACACTTCCTTTCCATTATCTCACCGACTCCACCTCCCTGAACCTTATCTACTCCTTCGCTCTTCACTCTATCGAAAACCCCTTTCTCTCTCTGCTACTTCCCCTTCATCATCTTCCTCATCTTCTTCTTCTTCTCCTCCCATTTTCCTCTCCTTCTTCGACGACCCTTTACCAGAAAATGTGCAGGAACCAGACAATTCAACAAACAATACCCAAGAAGAAGAGGAAGTGGAAGAAGAAGGTTTCAAAGATCCAATTCTTAAATTCTTCAAGTTACGAACTTTAGCAGCAGAATCAACCGAAGACCCTTCTCGAGAATCCAAATTCTCCCTCCAGAAAAACCGTCGAACTTCTTGGCACCTGGCTTCAGATTTCGAATCCGAAATCGACCCCGAGCCAACGATATCAGTCTCTGAGGCAAACCAACAAACACTTGGCGTGCAAACTCCATTCGAAAGTAGCATCATCCCTGGGGAAATTCTAGAAATTGCTAAGAATCTGAAAGAGAATCAAACTCTGGGAGAGATGCTATCAGGTTTCGAAGGGAAGATCAACGAAACAGAGTGCGTAGAGGCGTTAGTGATGATGGGTGAATCTGGTTTTGTCAAGAGTTGTTTGTATTTCTACGAGTGGATGAGTTTGCAGAATCCGTCACTTGCTTCGCCTCGTGCTTGCTCAGTTTTGTTTACATTGCTCGGTAGAGAATCAATGGCTGATAAGATTCTGCCTCTGCTTCGTAATTTACCAGACAAGGAAGAGTTTAGAGATGCTCGTCTCTACAATGCCGCCATTTCTGGACTCTCAGCTTCTCAAAGGTACTTCCTTTTTACCTCTTCCCACGATGATCCAGTTCTAGAGAATGATAAAGTTGTAGTCTTTGATCAAATCTATGTGGTTTTGTGATTAGTAAATAGCCTTTGATAAAATCTATGTGGTTTTGCGATTAGTAAGTTGAAAAGTTGCAGTCTATTGATCAAATATTCTGTGGTTTTGTGAGTAAATAGTAAAGTTGTAGCCTTTTTGTTCAAATCTCTGTAGTTTTGCGATTAGTAAGTTGAAAAGTTGCAGTCTTTGATCAAATTTATGTGGTTTTGTTATAAGTAAATTGAAAATCTCTATGATTGTGCTGTCACTAAACTGAAAAGTTTTAGTCTTTGATCAAATATATGTGACTTTGTGATTAGTAAATAGAAAAGTTATAGTCTTTTGATCAATTCTCTGTGATTTTGCGATTACTAAATGTTATATTGCTGGCTTTTTTATTAGATATGATGATGCTTGGGAAGTGTATGAATCCATGGATAAGATCAATGTAGATCCAGACAATGTTACATGTGCTATAATGATCACAACGATGAGGAAAGCAGGACGAAATGCGAAAGAAATTTGGGAGATATTCGAGAAGATGAGCGAGAAAGGAGTGAGATGGAGTCAAGATATATTCGGTGGCCTAGTGAAATCGTTTTGTGACGAAGGGCTAAAAGAAGAAGCTCTTGTGATCCAAACAGAGATGGAGAAGAAAGGCATACGTTCCAACACGATTGTGTACAACACATTGATGGATGCTTACAACAAATCCAATAACATCGAAGAAGTTGAAGGACTTTTCGCTGAAATGAAAGCTAAAAGCTTGAAGCCTACATCTGCAACTTACAACATTCTCATGGATGCTTATGCTAGAAGAATGCAGCCTGATATCGTAGAGACGCTTCTCCAGGAAATGGAAGGGTTAGGTTTAGAGCCAAATGTGAAATCTTATACTTGTTTGATTAGTGCTTATGGGAGGACTAAGAAGATGAGTGATATGGCTGCTGATGCTTTCTTGAGGATGAAGAAAGTAGGTTTGAGACCTAGCTCGCATTCTTACACTGCTCTTATTCATGCTTACTCTGTTAGCGGATGGCATGAGAAAGCTTATGCTTCCTTTGAAGAGATGTGTAGAGAAGGGATTAAACCGTCTGTTGAAACATACACGTCGCTTCTCGATGCGTTTAGACGGTCTGGTGATGTCGAAAAGCTGATGGAGATTTGGAAACTGATGCTGAGAGAGAAAGTCTGTGGGACAAGGATAACATATAACACTGTTCTTGATGGATTTGCCAAGCAAGGTCGTTACATCGAAGCGAGGGATGTTGTTGCCGAGTTTGGGAAAATGGGTTTGCTTCCTACTGTTATGACTTACAATATGCTGATGAACGCTTACGCACGAGGAGGACAAGATTCGAAGTTGCCTCAGCTGTTGAAGGAAATGGCTGCTCTTAACTTGAAGCCTGACTCCATCACGTATTCGACTATGATCTACGCGTTTGTTCGTGTTCGAGACTTCAAGAGAGCGTTCTTTTACCACAAGATGATGGTTAAAAACGGGCAAGTACCTGACCCGAGGTCCTACGAGAAACTTAGAGCGATTCTTGAAGACAAGGCAAAGACCAAGAACAGAAAGGATAAGAGTGCTATACTTGGTATAATCAATAGCAAATTCGGCCGGGTTAAAGCTAATCCGAGAGGCAAGAAAGATGAGTTTTGGAAATACAAGAGGAACAGAGAATCTTATAAACCTGATCCTCAACGATCTTGAATGTATAGCTTTCAAGCTATTTAAATGCTTCAATGAGGATGCTCAGCCTCTATTGTACTTAGCTTTATTTCTTTGTATTATGTTCCTAAGAGATACCTATGCTCATGTGTAAGTAAAAAGTTTATTGGTTTAGCTTTGTTCTCACAAGCAAAGAATATATATCTCTTAAGCTTTAAGCAATCTTAAGATATAAAACTCTTTACTCTCTCTCAACACACACATCACTCTCTTGTAACACAAACCAAAACACAGAAGAATGAAAATCTTGATTCTTTTGACACTTGTAAGTAATCACAGAGCTTTGTATCACTCCATAACGCTGCATGATCCTCACATGTCCACTTGTGAAACGATTGTTCTTGGTGGCAAAGGCAATGGCTTTGAAGCTCAGGACTGGAGAGCTCCTTATTTCAATCCTACTTCTGATAATGTCTTTATGTTGATCGGATGTTCTCCAAAATCTCCTATATTTCAAGGTTAGTAACAACAAGATGATTTTGTTTTGATTTTAATGTTTTTAAAAAAAAAAGTTAATACATTGTACAGTATATGATATATTTCGGTTCAAATTCACACTACATTTGGTTTAGTTTTGGTACAATAAAATCCTCTTCAGTTTTGTTTTAGTTTTTTTAAAGGTTTAGGGCTTAGGCATGTTTGCATCTGTGACCATCACAATTCCACTACAAACTGTGATTCAGGTCAGCATTGAAGTATATAGTTTAATGAAGGTTTTTGTGCAAAACAACCCTTAAACTAAATTCTTTTAACCCTACGCCAATCTTCTTCCTGATCATCAACAAAATCTTCTTCCTGAGCAGGCTGATCAGATGGACCGACTCCACCTTCAAAATTTTTTCTAATGGCTGGGAACAAATTATCTAGCAGCTCCATTGTGGAATCTTCAATCAAACTAATATTACTATCAATTTGTTGATGAGTTTCCATTGGCATTTCAGATTCTACGACATTCAGTCGTTCACCATGTGAATGCCAATTTGTATAAGTAGGAAGAAATCCATTAAACATCAGATCCCCATAAACATCATCTTTATACTTATACTTTATCAGGCAACATCGACGACATGGACATTTTATCATGTCTCCATTAGTTTTAGAAAACGCAAATTCCAAAAAGCTTTCCACCCCATTAATGTATTCTTAAGATAAACATGGTTTTATAATCCATGACTTATCCATATTAACCTAAAACCACAACATACATGACCACAATAAGCAAAACTAAGAATTTTATAGAGATTACATGTATAAAGCATTTTTGAGCTACAATGTCAGAATCATTAAGATGCAGAGGTGATCACATATGTATTAGAGATTAGCTAATCTCAGAGAAGCCAAATACACAATCTCATAGACAATTTAATCTCATAGAAGCCAAATCTCATCAATCACACAATCACACAATCTCATACGAATTTCAGAAACTTCGCTACCAAATCTCATCAATAAATCTCATCAATCACACAATCACATACGAATTTCAGAAACTTCTCTGCCATATCTCAGAGATAATCTTAGTCTAAGTCAATTCTCAGAGAGCACACATATAATCCATCAAATAAGATCAAGGAACTAACCTTGACAAAATCTCAACGAAGTTTGTGTAGTGGGTTTGATTGTTATCAGCAAAACCGTCCTAGAGGAGCTGATTTGATATGGTTTCGGATCTGAAAGCAAAATAAATCACTAGTTAAGCACAATCTCAGAGATACAGGGCATCAATTTACAATGCTTGTTCTCAAAGACATTTCGACAAACACCTTATAATCAAAAGACATTTCTCAAATCTGGAGCGAAAACCGGAATCAAAAGAGACGCGACCATGGAGAAATTCTCAACGAAAACCCAAATTAAGTATGAAGGATGTATAGAAACTCTCACCTGAGATTAATTAACAAATTTGTTGAATCGTAGATGTGACGGAGATGATGAAACGGAGACAGACAGAAATCGGAGATGAGATTTGCTATGATCGGAAAGGAGACGGAGAATTTGAAATGGAATCACATGACCCAAACACCGTCGAGATTCAGCAAACAAATTCGAGAATCAGCGATTGAAATAGACGATCGAGCTCGGTGAAGAAGAAAAGGAAATCAGCTCGATGAAGAAGAAAAGGAATCAGCTCGATTAAGCTGAACTGGAGACGAGAAAATTTGAAATGGAATCACTGTTCAAAATCGATGGAGTGTTTTAATTTCACTGTTCAAAATTGAAAATTTGCGCGATAGTTGGAATCAATTATCTAAGTAAATGATGCTAAATATTCAATGCCTAACGTCACTTATACATTATCGACACGAGACAAAATACATTAGCGTCATTTATACATTAATGACACGAGACAAAATATATTAGCATCAATATTGTTAAGTGATGCGAGAAATGCCTTTCTTTTTAATTTTTAGAGTCAGTTTTGTAAATGATGCTAAATAACCGATGCAAACTATACGTTTTCTAGTAGTGTACATTATTTGCGAAGTCAGAATTTCATTTCGAGCCACCACATTTAATCTCAGCCGCAGAATTACATAACTGCCCTTAATGAAAATCTTGAATAAATCTTCAAATTTTCCTTTTCTTTATAAAAGACAACGATTTAGATTTTTTATTATGATATGTTTAGAAAATAATTCTAATTACCATATTACACGCCATAATTTTGGAAGAAATAAAAAAATTGGAAAGAAAACAAAGACCTAGGTTTCTTAACTGACTTTTGTCCTATATAAATAGATTGCTCTAATAACTCGAAAATAATTTCCCCTACTCACCTTAAAAGGAACCCCTCATGTTCTTCCAGCGCTCTCTGCCACTCTGGAGTCCATCATATAGACGTACCCATCCGTAAATTAGATTCAACTATAATTAAGGTTTACAACTGGTTGTATTTTTCTTTTGATATTCAGTTGCTTTCCTTGACTGAAATAGGTCAAAGTAACAAAGAGGTTGTGCATCTAACTAGAGAATGGACGTGATATAATCCACCTGCGGCTAATTTACTGCTCATAACCGGTGACATGGATGTGGAATATTTTTCTTTTCATGTTTCCTTGCTACAACGTAACGGATACACCATTCTTCACGCATGTCCTCGACGAGTTTTCAACTTGGTCAATAATGTCAATGTTAATAAAAGATTTGTCTGGCAAACGTTACTGGAAGGTGTTTGACCACTTTTCTCTCGGTTCTGAGATAACCAGCGAAGCCTTTGTTTCTGATCAGTATTATTTTTATTTTGTTAGATTCAGCCACGTCAGGGAGACAAGACCGGCAAGGCTTCGTTGCTCACAATGTGAAATTAGTTGCCGATGCTTTAAATCTTTCACCAAGCATCTCATGCGTGAAGATCATGTAGAGGAAGTACGCATTGCCTACTCTGTTTCAAAATATAATAGATGAAAAGTTATCACAATTTACAGCAATGTTGCCAATTATGAATTTATATCTATACATTTGTCATTGTCTAATTCCGCCTTATGTTTGCCATTCAAAGAATATCTCGATACCAAATTGATGTAGCGGAAGCTATGATAAATACAAAGATTATTATTTAGTCTAAGAATACCTAAGAATCAATGCTTTCCTGGATTCGTTGAGATCTCTCTAGATCTACCGAAAAAAAGTTTTAGAGAATACTCTTCTCTCAAAGCTAAAAGCTCTATTTTATTACTCAAAATCAACTGCATAATACAATAAAGCCTAAACGGCTATTTATAAGAAAACCTTAAAACCCTTATAAACCCTAAAACAATAATAGGAAACTATCAAAATAATAATATGAATAATTAGAATATTTTAAAATATCTCTCTACATCATTCTCGGATGGAGAAGATTCGTCCTTGAATCTTAGCTGTGGTCTTCGTTTCCAAAGCTCTGTCCGCTAAAATTATTCCATGATCTCTTTTCCTTTATCCTAATCTCCCAACGATAGTAATTTCTCACCTGGAAATATTAATGTTTCCTTTTCTTCAAAAGATGACATAATTGTTATGCCTTTTTTCTTAAAACCTTCACTTGTGCTCTTCTCCACATTATTCACGCAAACATATGCTTCTTTGTATTGTTTTCATGAAAATCGTGACTTGCTTCATGGGGCACTAAAGCACGTTGTTGATGAACAAACAAAACCCTAACGCTTTCCACCTTTCGAAGATTGAATAACCCTTTTTATTCTTCTTTTTGAATAATTCCTTCATCATCATAAATATCTAAAACTGGATCTCCAACAATTTCTCTAAAATTATCGCATAGATCTTCACATAGAACAAACGAATATTCATCCAGGCGATAAGAAAATCTCCCAAACAATATGATATAGAAGAACAAGATCGAACCTTAATTAAGAAATCAAAGTGCTGTCTCTGATACGAAATGATGTAGCGGAAGCTATAATAAATACAAAGATTATTATTTAGTCTAAGAATACCTAAGAATCAATGCCTTCCTGGATTCGTTGAGATCTCTCTAGATCTACCGAAAACAAGGTTTAGAGAATACTCTTCTCTCAAAGCTAAAAACTCTATTTTATAAACCCTAAAACAATAATAGGAAATTATCAAAATAATAATATGAATAATTAGATTATTTCTAAATATCTCTCTGCATCACAAATTTGACCACATGTTATCTTTGTGCATTTGGTTTGTCAAGCAGCAGTTTAAAATTGTGGAAAGGCCTGTAAGCGGGAAGCTAAGGAGGATGTTGGCGAATGAACCATATCAGAATGATGCCACTACCATGATGGAGAAGCAATCAAAGGCAAGTTTTAATACCTTTTTACAACTTTGGTGAAACAGCCGAGTTCCAAATGTGCAATAGAAAGGATGATTTTTGATTGATTTACTGACTTTGTTTTTATGCTAAAACAATGAAGAAAATGATCTTTGAAGAGAAGAACTACTAGGAGAAGAATGGGACCGTATCACCGTCTATATGACGTCGTCAACAAGGATAAGAGTACACATTTGGTGTGTTGTTCCTTTTTATTATCTATGGCCTTTCATAGTTAGTTTGAATCGTTTGGTCAAAGTAATACTACTATGTCAAGATTATAAAGAGAATGGGGATTAGAAAATAAGAAGATGTTACTGAACCTGAATTAAGATGTTCAAAGAAGTTACGTAAGTTGGCCAGTCATAATTTTTGAATATTCAATATGATGGCTAAAATATAAATTTTAAAAACGTTATTTTGTAGACTGTTTTTATTCTATCCAATATACCCAATTATGAACCTGATAAAACACAGACTTATTTCACAAAATACTGATTATCATGTTCGTTTACACCAAAATTAATCTAAATTATTATAATTCGAAAACGAATGATGAAGATTACTATATCAATAGTATTATGTTGTAAACCTCTCAGACTTACATTATCGTATGGATGAAAAACCTAACTATGTTAGATGGTCTTTAGATTGATGAGATCTATGCAACGAGAAAGTTACATCTTGTATTCTTTTCAAATCATATCCGATTAGTTAATAACATTGTAAATTCTTAAAATATCATATGAAATTTTGTACTAAGCAAAAAAAAATTAATTCAAATTAAAAAGAGCTGTCTATGATGTGGTTATGGTGTACTGAATGGATGGGGGTGTTTACTATAGGGTTAGTGTTTATAAGGTAGGGTTTATATTGGTGAATGAAGAGTTTAGTTTTTTGTGCGTTTTTTTAATCCTTAGTTCTTGAAAAAATTTAAGGATAAAGAAAATAGATAAACAACTAGATTATTTAATCTTTTGTTCAAATCATATCGATAAAATAAAAACATTGCAAATTCTTAAAATATCATGTGAAATTTTGTACAACAACAACAATTACAACAAATTAAGGAAACAATATTCCATTAAAATTGAAAAGAGTTGTCTATTATTGGTTATGGTGTACTGTATGTATGGAGGGGGTTGTTTATTGTAGGGTTAGAGTTAGGGTTTAGTTTTATGTGCATTTTTTAAATCCTTAATTCTTTAAATAGTTTAAGGATAAATGAAATAGCTAAACCCCTAAATTGTTTAATATTTTGTTCAAATCATGTATATATAAAACTAAGATTGTGGTTGTAATAACAAATACGAGAAATCTAATCTTAGAATAATAAAACCAAAAACCCAAAAAGCAACAATAGTTTAAAATTAATAATAAGTAAATAACTAAGGCGGACCAAAATTAAAAATATGTTTTAAAATTCTTAGTTCTTGGAAAATTTTAAGGTTAAAAGAAATAGCTAAACTAAATTATTTAATATTTTGTTCAAATTATATCGAATATTAAAAAAACATTGTGAATTCTTAAAATATAATATGAAATTTTGTACAACAACAACAATTACATCAAATTAAGCCAAAAAAATTAATTCAAATTAAAAAGAGTTTTCTAATTTGTGGTTATGGTGTATTGCATGGATGGGGGGAGGGGGTGTTTATTGTAGGGTTAGGGTTTAGAAGGGAAGGTTTATATTAGTGTAGGGTTTAGTTTTTTATGCGTTTTTAAAATCCTTAGTTATTGAAAATTTTTAAGGATAAAGGAAATAGCTAAACAACTAAGTTTTTTAATCTTTTGTTCAAATCATATCGATATAATAAAAACATTGTGTATTCATAAAATATCGTGTGAAATTTTGTACTACAACAACAATTACAACAATTATGCAAAAAAATATTTCAATAAAATTGAAAAGAGTTGTCTATTATGTGGCTATGGTGTATGGTATGTATGGGTGGGGAGGTGGGTTATAAAATGATAGATATAAAAACAGAAAGATGATGATGAAGACAACGACGAAAAAAAAACCAAAAAATAAAAGAAAAAAACAAATAAGACAAAGACACTAAAAAATTTAAGAGAAGAAAAAGACAATAAAAAAGAGGGGAGAATTCGGAAATAAAAAATATAAAGAAAATATAATCAGAGAAAATGAAGATGGTCAGTAAAAATATTGAGAAGATAAGAAGAAGAAAAACTTGAAAAATAAGACAAATAAAAATGGATATAGTTTTTGAAAGAAAATAAAATGATAGATATGTTGTAGATGACACGAAAAATGACGGA